GGGCGCCAGTATAAAGGGGGGGCAGGGAGAACCCCTAGCTAATTATACGACAAAACGGTAGGCGGCCGGGGGGCTTAATTACCGCCGCCGCGCTGCACTACTACAGTTAGCCCACGACAACATTCACATTCACATTGAGTGTAACGGCGCGCGGCACAACAGCACAGCACAACGGAACAAAACAAACGAACGAAATACGAACCCCGCCACCGCCACCCGCTGCGTCTCTGGAATAATTATCGCTCTTATTTCCGTCTGAATGATGAGAAACACGCCGCCGGGCCGCACGGTGCCGTACCGCCGCCTCTGATTGCGGTGTCGCTGGAGGTCAGCCGGAAACTGCACGGGTGCGCGATGTTTCGAAAATGCAATTTTCACGCGGAAACCCCCATATATCGATACACAACGTTCGCTGTTGTTTTGCTTATTTATTATGTGACCATGGTTTTTTTTATTTATTTTTTGGTAACAGGCCACTATGCCATAACTGCGTGTTGATTAAAAGAGTGTTCAACTGTTCAAAAATTAATGTGAAGGATTTTGAATGTGGGCTAGAAAAATATCGAGGAATTGAGGAATATCGGATAGTAAGCAACGGTTTGAAGCGAGGGGGCAATAACTCCCTTTTGATGTGTACACATGATTCCCGAAATACTTGATTCCCAGTGATTCCCAGTGATTCCCGTCCACTTATATTCATTCCTTAGGTTTTCTAGTAGCAGAAAACGCTTTTTTTTTGACTAATTTGTATCAGTTGCAGTAGTTTCCCACTTCGTTTAAACGATTTCTGTTGATTTTGATTAATTTTTATACTGATGATTCCCAGGCAGATGTACACATGATTCCCGCAGTTATTGCCCCCTCGGTTTGAAGCACCTACTGTTCCCTTGCTGGTTTGAATAATTATTTTACAACTGGAAAAAAACAGTTGTCAGAAGAAATTGTTACAATATGAATGGCGTAACACCAAGTTCCTCTGTTAAAGAAAAGCAAAACCAATTTTTTGGCCTGTTATCGAGTGTTTTTATACCATCACGAGGGTGCTCATGACCTTTCGAAGAGTATCGCGGAACTGGGAGCTGCGGGGAGCGGGCGGCGGCAGTCAGGTGTAACCACCCGAGGCACTTTCGGGACCCCATTTCGCGGTCACCCTCGCCGCTCCTCCCCGCGTGCCCCTCGGTGCTGCCGGACAAGACGCGGCAGAGCAATTTTCGCTGTTTTTTGTATGTCCCTTCCGAATCACCCCCCCCCCCCTTCTTTCCCGCGCTCCTTTCGCTCATCGTTTCCGGCGCGGTGATGTCCAGTTCCGGCCTAGAACGGCCCGAAAGACTCTAGATCTCACTGTCTGACTTCCAAGCATTTTGCCTGATATCATGTCCGTCATGACACCGTCTGTTTCACTCCCCCCCCCCCTCCCTTCTGACAAGATTATTTTTTTCTACGCCGTCTCAGCTCGCCCTACAACGAGATGGCCGTTGTCGGGATGTGCAAAGAAGGGTATCCGTAATAAAAAGGCAAATTATTTTTAAAGCCCTCATCTCTCTCTCTCTCTCTCTCTCTCTCTCTCTCTCTCTCTCTCTCTCTCTGCAGGAGCAAGCATCTTTGATTGCAGTGCGTCCAGAATTAGATACCCCGGCTGCATACCTGTGCGCTGTTTTATTTTACGAGATCTCGCATTGCGTAGTGCAGCACTGCGCGCTAAGGGTCCGGCCGGCCGGAGTGGCCCGGTCTGCACAGGCCTACCAACGCACCTCACCTCGTGACCTTTCAAATCTCCCGCCGCCGGTAGAGCGCTCGCGGACACGGAGAAAATCCCACTCGCGACCGGGATATCATTGGGTTTGGTTCGCAATAGCAATATAAAGTCCCCCCCCCACCCCAACGGTTATTGAATGTTGAAATATTTAAAGGGGGTGACGGAGGTACCCGTGGACCCCGATGCCCCTTCTGCTACCGCGAATTTCTGCATGAGTGTTGTTAAGTGTGCCCAGTTTTAAGAAATTCCTGCTGGAATTATGATACTTGACCAATCTCCCTAAAAATGTACTGTCCACCTTTCTGGCATAGATAACATTTTCGTTTTGTGCGTAATTTGACACAAATGAGGTAGGCACCATTCGTTGTTTTTGTTTTCTTTTTTAGTGTTCCGTTTTCAATTCGCCGGCACTATCGCCCCACTTTGTTTTTTGGACAGCGAGCACACTGAAAAGGGCGTGGATAAAATAACACCCGTGGGAAACACGCGGCAAAAGGCACACAAACATCAATGTGAATCAGAGAATAAGACTGAGCTGCTTTGCTCTACTTAGCAAACCAGTTTTAAACACCTGCAGCGCAGCTCGGGCGGCGGGCGCCACCCCCGTCCCCCCCTCTTTCCAGCGCGCGCAGGACATGCTCAGGACACTTGGCCCGCGACAGGACCCCGCGCGCGGTACGGGTAAATGTCACGGTGAATTTTCCCCCCACTCCCTATCCCTTTAAAGTCCGTGATGCCGCCCCTGCCGACCCCCGCCCGGCTGTGCGGCGACCCCGATCCGATGCGGGGTCGGCCGGTGCGGGGCGTCAATGAGTCGAACTCGGAGCCCCGCGGTAGGAAAACAGTTCGCCCCCAATTAAGCGAATCAACATCAGACGGGCTTTTCCTAATCATTAATTACACGCCAGGAAAACAAAAGAGGTGCCACCTGATGCCTTTTTAGAATGCGTTAGTGAAATAGAGCATATAGACAAAGCCGCTATACTCATCGCCCTGAAAGATGCTGTATTTTCGGCAAATTTAGTGCCAGGCCATAGTGCAAAATGCGGCAAGACTTTTGCAGTAGTGGATGCAATTCTACTTATTTCTTAAGCAAATTTCCATTCCGATCACCGCGCAAAGTTTTACTATACTATTTTTGGACTACGAAATGGTGCATTTACTGTAGATCTGGTGCATTATGTGGAAAAAAAGCGACAAAAATATTTTTTAAAGATGCAACGCTCCAGCCGGGGGCGCGCGCGTTGCTGCGTTCGTTCGGGAATGTCAGGGCATTAGCTTCAGTCATAACATCATCGTGACCATCTCCAGCGCTGATAGTGATTGAGAGGGTAAGGGGAGAGAGAGAGAGAGAGATGGAGGGAGGGAGGGAGGGAGAGGGAGAGAGAGAGCAGGTGCTGATGGCTGTGATGAGGCGGCCGAAGGTAACACCCTTGGCCGCTGGGCCGACACCCGATCCGTGGATCCGTGGCCCCCCCCTCCCCCGTAATTACCTTCAGGGGCCCAAAGGCGCGGTTAATGAAGCAAATTTGAGGGCCAGCCGCCGGGCCGAGACGCGCTGGTCTTCTCTCTCTCTCTCTCTCTCTCTCTCTCTCTCTCTCTCTCTCT